TGCCACCTATGTGGCGTATGTGCCGGGGAGACGGCCCAACACGCGCTGGAAGAGTGCCCATCCTGGACGGAGCAGAGCCAAGAGCTGTGCGCTATCGTGGGGCACAACCTCTCGCTGCCAGCCATGGTTCGCGCTATGGTTGACAGCGAGAGTTGGGTTGGGCGTGGGGTGCTATCCTCGCATACTGCGAGGACGTTATCACCCGGAAATAGGCCGCGGAGAGAGAAAGGGAGGCAACTGCCACCCTGGAAATCCGCCGCCGGAGACCAGGGCGCAGAAGGCTGGCCTACACGCGCAACCTACCCCCCTGATAGTGAAACTCTGTGCGGCAGACATGGGGATGTCTGTCTCTCAATATGAGGCCTCGTGTCGTGTGCTGTGCCAATTACACCGGCACAGTACAATGTAGTAGAGGAGGCCTAAAAAGGCCACAGTAGAGCGGAGGTCGCGGAAGATTGCGTCCACGTGTTCCCATGTCCCCGGCCGATACGACAGAGACAGGAGCAACTATGGGTTTTTAGTGGGTACCAGTTTCGCACCGGGACTCCCACATACGCCTGCCGCTCGATGTCCAGCGTTCCACAACCGCTCTGTGGAACCAGCTGCCGTCGGCGATCTTTCCGAACCGTTACGACCTGGGAACCTTCAAGGAGAGAGCATACTCTTTCCTAAAAGGCCGGCAACGCATTTGTAAGCCCTCTGGCATTGCAGGAGTCCATGGGCGGCGGTGATCACTTACCTCGGTGAGCACTCAGTGTGTGAGTCACTTTACTTGGTGAACCTCCTGCTCGTTTGCCGCTTTTTTCCCCATAAAAAAACTATTTTCTTCTGTAACAGTTATTACAGGTACAGCCCTAAATTGGTTTTGTGTCCTAGATTTTTAATATGGTAGAAGACTACCCATTGGAACATCGTATTTTTCAGCGATTTGCCTAATTGCATGTTGTTAACATATTGAACCACATTAATGGCTTTATGCAAATTATCTCTAATATATTGAAATTGTAATTGTCTTTGGCATTCTGAAAATAACGTTTTAGATGCACCTATTTATATAATATTGATAATACACTTCGACTTCGTTAAATTTGGACTGCGATATTTATTGACCTGGCAATAACTATAGATATTAAGATATGGTAATTACTAAAAGTACTAAAAGTAATTAATATTTAATATTCAATACAGATGCAACACTAAGAAAATATATTTCATTTTATCATAATTATGTAAAAATAGTTGAATATCCAATAACAGTAAATAAAAATAAAGCTTTCAGGAAGTAATTTTGTAAAAGTAAACTTGTTTTATAGCGGCAACTATACAGCTATATAAAATTTCCACTGTCTATCGCGATTCATGAGATGCAGCCTGTTGACAGATGGACAGACAGCGGAGTCTTAGTAACAGGGTCCCGTTTTAACCCTTGGGTACGAAACCCTATGAACTATTATACCCTATGAGTTATACTTAAACGCAAACTGAATCATCAAATTGGCCTAAAATACTTAGTAGGTTATAAAGCAAAGTTCCAACAGATATCTCATATATATATCATGTTTCGTGTTACTCATTATTACTTACTGAGTATAAACATTCAATTATGTCGGCAAATAACGATGAAATTGATACATAGATCGGAAAACCAACAATTTTGTTTCCATTAGTGTTGATTTTGAATCCGTATTGTCTTGAGGGGTAATAAATTCATATTGTTAATAACATGAATGGGTACATAGAAGTAAAAGCCTATTTATAAACCAAGAAAGCAAATCGGCCGATAAGCGAAAATTAGAGACGAGATTACGTTCCGCCCACAACTTGCGAACTAAACATATTACAAGTTTCTGCGGACTGTTTCGCCGAATTCACGAAATCGGGAAATCTCAACATCTAAAATCGATCAGGGGTTGTTTTCTATCGTTTTCTCAATTAGTTACAGCATCAGATAGCTGAGTGGATTTGTAGTAGATGATGATTGTCCGATGTAAGTATCTTGTTAATTAATTTAATATCAAACGTCAAAAACTGAATGAACGTATAGTGTGGTAGGGCCACACAACTCTTCTCTGTTGGACGAATGGGCATGACCGTCCGGGTAAGCACCACGATCTCACAGAAGACCGAAGTGAATTGGGAGAGTAGTACTTCTGCGTTTCGCCTGGTGAGTGAGGTAGCCGCGGCCCACTTTATTAAGAGGTGGTAACGCAGATGCGTTACAGATGCGGCATCTGTAACCCCACGGGTGTTGCAAATGGTTTCAATGAAAGGCGGATATCCCAACTTCTCACATAATAATCATATGAGCATTCTCTAACTATGTAACTCATTATAAGATTAAGAACTAAACGATTTGATCATAGAATTTTACTTTACCCATGAGCAATGCTTGATTTTTGATGATTGATGGTCGCAATTTCAGTCCTTAGGCTATATAAATCTTCAACGGGCACAAAGTCCGTGAAAAGATTAAGTCTCCAGGACCTTCATAGAGTATACCTAACTGTGATTGATATAGAAATGAGCACTTAACAAAAATTAGTCAATTGCCTACAGTGCCATAGGCGTTCGAGACACTTCAAAAGGAATTAAATGCTAACCTAACAGTCGTATCCTAAAACAGCCAGTAATTAAACAAAGGACAACGAAATGACCGAAAATCGAATCAAGATCCGTTTCACAACGAAAACGAAAATCAATGTATTAATTCTGCCGAACTCGTCAGCAATTGCTGCCAATATCGAGATTAGTTTTTTTTTTAATGGTTATTAGTTTTTTCCTCTATTGTAATAGGCAGTTACGTAATGAGGATAACGGCGGGGCCGGAGCCGCCCTTGTGGCATTTTACAACAGCTACCCGTTTCCTAGCCGGCGGCGTCCGCCACGTGAATATTTGATGCCTCTATCGATCATAACTTCTTCGAGGCGCTGTATCGGGCGCGGAATGAATGTTGCCCGTAAATCATGTGGCGTTTGCCACATACATGAAACTGCCGCGTAATAAAATATTCTTTACAATACAGATACGGTGGTCTCTGCATTTCATGCGCGTACTCTTTCAGGCGCGAAAACTTTCCTCTTTTTCTTAAGAAAACCAAGGAAACGCCCGTCGTCTCTATGTCTAGGCTTTTTAACAGAGCTTTGTAGTATCTATCTTTTTTAAAATTGCACTATTTATAAAAATACATTATTTTTTATTTCAAATGGGAACGGTCCCCTTTTTTCGAAAATTAAAGATACTAAAAGAATACACGGACACCGAGTTTGTACTGATGCATTGGGTAATGTTTAATTCAATCTCTTAGTCATTTCGCCACACTTAAACCCAGTTTCCGAAAGCGCAATCAATTTTAATTTACGATAAAGCTCTTGTCAATCGTTGTTTAACATGATCTGAGTTGCTAGAACGTCTTAAACAACATTGATTTTGATTTGCAATTAGTCACTGATTAACGGACAATCAACAGAAAATCGAGTTTCTGAAAGCGTTTTTCGGTGGTCAACGAGCTGTCAAAAGTTTTATTAAGTAATCTGTCAAATTGGACGATCATTCGTTGGTTAAAAATGTTATTTATCAAAAGTCTTAGTTTTTATTAAAAATAAACATAATTCCCTGATACGTTGTAAGGACATTCATGTGTTCTATTACCTATTTATTATTTATTATTATGCAAACATATCATGCGATTAGAAAAAAATACAAAATGCAATTCAAAAGTTATTAATTAAAATGGATTCTTTCTTTTTATAATACTTGTTTATTATGGATAAAAGTTAATTTTTTTCATGTTCTGTAAAGTTTTTTTTTTTTGACATTTTGCATGTATTTATATAAATTAAATTTTATTATAGCTCGGATTTTTACGTTGGCAATCACACGGTGACAGGACTGGATAGTGACGTTAATTTAAGTTTTGTTCAAAAAGGAACGGCTATACAATAGAAAGAGTTAGTTGAAGTAAATCATTCATTTCATTCGTTATCATTGGTTATACAGTGATTAGCTAATTTTTCTTGAACAAACCTTCCAGAAACCAAAGGCAGTTTAACAAGAGATTAACAGCAGATCATTTTTGAAATAGTGTTATGTGATTGCTGCTTTGACTGGCCTTTCGGAAACTGGGCATTAAAGACTTCATCAGCGCTTTACTTGAATAAAATTAATTTACCGGTCGAGTGGTCTTAATAAATATTTAGACTGAATTTCTCAAAAAACTGCGTCTATGAGTCGTTACAATAATTAAAAGAATAAACCATTAATGAATCACTCCCCATAATAACGTCTCGTAAACATATTTCCTATCCCTCATTTACAATATCTGAAATATTTTCCTCAAAATAGACTTAGTACCGTGATAGAGCGAGCCGGCGGCTTTGCTGTTGTCCGATTAGGCAAGTTCGACTGAGGAAGTACCACGGCCCCTTGGCCCCAAATTATTTTCCATTGATTTCTGTTAATTTTTAATGTAATCATGTTTGTACAAAGTATTGTAGGTAAAGGTAAAACACGAAAACAAATATGAAAGGAAAAGTTGTTTACTGGTGTTTACTAGTCTAGAATTTGAATTTTATTTTTTGCCGAAGTCTCTATTGTGGGGGCCCTTCTTTTGCGGAGGCCCCGGGGCTGTAGCCCCGGTTACCCTCCCCTAAATCCGGCCCTGTAATATCAAAAGGATATATCACAGTATATACGGTGGAAAAGGCGCCACCGCATTGCATGGAACAAGTTTAGCGTGACAGGCATGGGCATCAAAGTGAATTCACAATGATGCAACCACCCGTGGGGTGGTCTTCATGACTTATAAACTCGCGGTGGTTGTTAGCCGGTGAAAATGGACGCGGCGCGGTGGGAAACGTCGGCCGGGTCCGATTGTAATTGGAGTGGGCGTGACGCACGCTAGGCGCAGACGGCGAGACACCTTGCGGTGTATGGCCGCTTCTCTGGTAATTTCCGTGTGCTGTCCAGACTTGAGGCGTCTGACGCTCTCATGCATATGTCATGAGCGGTTGCCAGGCAACGGTTTGTTGTCGGGCCGAGCGCGGGAAGTGCGACCGGTGACCAGCGACCACCCCGCGGCCCCACCGCCCGCAATTATTGCGTTCCACTTTCTATTCTGGCGAGCCACCGGAGCCGCCCGGCCGCCCACCACCGCGCGAAGGGATGAGGCGATGATTAGGGCGCCGCTCTTTCTCCAACCTGCCGTGCGTAATGGCCATGTCGTATGTTGCATGCACGCTCAAATTAAATGACGGACAGTAAAAGCAGCCGCAGGTCCGGTGCACGCAAGCGATCCAATAAATAACGCGACGGCATTTAGTATCCCCGCAGACAGCGTTAGCTGATGGCTTATTGAATAAAATCGTTGGAACATTTACGGTGGCATTATTTCAATCGAAAGTATCCTGAACATGTCATATTGAACATTATAATTATGTATACACAAGTAGCCTAAAAAAAATACCCTATGTGACGACAATTTAATTAAAATAAATATATAGTTCACTAAACATATTCATAAGCAAAATGGAATCAGTCAGTTACAGTATACAGAGCCGGTAAAACTATAAATTTCCAATGCCTTTAGAACATGGAACTTGGAACATGGATGATTGGTTTATATTTGAAAGAAGTTTGCAAGTTTAAATTGAATAGCAAAAGTAAAAAGAGGTTTTGTAAATGCAAAACAGACTTAAGTAACCAAACAATGAAAATTATTATGTTGAACATAATAAGAATGTATCCTTAACCTTATTGAACTCATATTAGTGAGATCGCAATAAATTAACAAAATAAGCTTTTTAAAATGTAATGCAGAAGATTAATAAATATGAACTTACATTATTAATAAAATCTTATGATAACATAAGACAAAACTTATATACAAAGATCTATTTAAAAAACTAGATTGTGTTTATTTGCCTATAGAAATTGAATATTTACATTAAACAAAGTATTCATATATGTTTCACAAGGCCCTACAACCTAGTTTAAGTACTAGGATAATAATTGTATAAATGTAGCTGATTAAGTTATAATATTCAATAATTACCTATATATACACAGCCTATGTTTACCGCTATTGGTTGAAAAATAAACAAGTAGAATAAGTTTAAAAAAAAATATTACACAGAAAAACATTACTCTTCAAAATAAGATAACTTTCATTTATATATATTTATTTGCTCATCTTTTTATACCCTTCGATGAATGGTCATAGCACTGTAAAATTTTCGCATGGGTCAACTATTTATTATTACATAATACAATACATAGCAATTTTGTAAAAATGTAAGAATTTTTATTCATACATTGTATTAAAAATTAAAAATATAACACATGTTGCAAGCCTTCTAATCCATTTCAAACCATCACCAACTTCAATTAGTTATAATTTTAAACAAATGTTTTAATAATATTAATCAATGATTTAACACATTGATTTCAAGTTAAGACTATTACTAGTAGCTAGCTGTTAATTTGTTAAGTTTCATAAAGTTTTTGTAGAAAAACAATCTGAGAATGAACTATAGTTTAATGAGATGATGTTGATTTAGCCCCCGTATACATTTAGGAAACATTTTTTATTGCAGTGATGCTGTATTTGTAACAGCAATAGCAAGAAATAATTACCTTCTGCTTGGTTTCACATAATGCTTATTATGTTTTAATTATACATTTGTTATTTTGATATTAGAATAATAATTAATCAAAGTGGTTACTATATAAATAAAAACATTACTCTTACTCGTTTTTCTGGTATCACCGTGAAAAGTTATTGTCAAAATTTATTGTTTCATTGAATTCATGATTGATGAACAACTTTTGTAGCTTATCAAAAAAAAAATTATCAATCCTGCTTTATACATCAGTTCTATCAACATAACCAACAACAAAAAACCAGCATTGACTTATAAGCTTCCATAAAGAGTACTGTTGTCTACAAAATACGTAAATTTACCGTAATTGATGTTAATTTTTACTTCTGACAGAACGCCGGTAAGAAATAATCAATATCATGAGGATGAACTAGTACAAACTACAAACAGCGAACAAGAAAATGTAAAAATGTGTACGCTGTATGAAAAATAACTATTTACTTACCAAAACAAATGAAATTAAACAGGGCACTATTTGAACCATATATGTTTCCTTTCACAATTAAAAGTTTTCCGCTACTATAACTATAGATATATTTGTGAATCACAAAATAACAAAAAAATGGCGGCAATGGCAAATGGTAATTTATGGAGTGATCAGTGAACGAAGCGAAGATATTGTTTGGTAACAGCAGTTAGAATGTTGCCCGACAAAATCGCAAGCAAATTATTGTCAAAACATCATTTACACACCACACCAAAGAGAAAGTAATCACTACGTTTACAAGCACAGTCGAATCTTGGTCGAATCACATTATTTAGCTTTATTTTTTATTTTTTCTTTCTTTTGAAGGATTTTTTGCCAACATCATAATAAAATTTACTGGTCCATTTTTTTATAAATGAAAAATAAAAACGACTTCAAATATCTCGCTCTGTATTAATTTTATAATTGATTTTCAGGAGTTCCGTATCTTCGTAGTCCAAGATCCAATACCAATGAAATTAATATAGGAATACGTTCACTCAGTCAAAAGTTCTGAGGTAACGAAAATAAAAAAATAACAGTCGAATTGAGAACCTCCACCTTTTTGCAGTAGGTTGAAAACTAAACTTTTCTATTAAATCATACGTCGTTATTTAAGACAACAAAAAAATTATAACAGAAAATCAACAAAGATTGTACACGACGACCACGACATGAAACGTTCCGACACTTGGGCCAACGACTAGATCTAGATTTGATCTCTAGATTTAGACTAATAGGACATGACAGAAGGTGGTAATCTGGTCAAAATTGTGATGAAATCGCGATAAACGCTCTAAGCTATCTCCGTTAAACTATTTCCATTACATACGGAATTATAAAAGTAATGGATTTAAGTAAACAATTAGTTGGCGAAATTAAAAGTCCCAATTTTAACTACGTTACTAGTAATTAACTTACTATAAATATAACAATGCCAACACAACGTATGCGTTTGAAAAGCGGCCTGGCACATATTGAAATCGTATGTAGTCTGCGAATCTGACATGTTCTCAAACAACGAGGAGCCACTGATCATTTCGGTGTTTAATTCCGCAAATGGAGTATAAACATATACCCCGATTTGTGTAGAAATCGGCGAATCTCCGAATATTGTTGAGTACATCGACCTGTACAGTGTATGCATACTTCCGACGCTAAACCAACACTTAGAATTAGCCAAATCGTTTGAAAAAGCCTTTGGAAAATTAAAAATTACGAAAACGATATAATGGCTTACAAACATCATCCGCGTAACGTATAATTTATAGGATAGCTGTCAATTCAAATCGTTAGGTAGGGTAAGCTAAACTGATACTTTTAAAATCCTTATCCTTATCATTACTAATATTATAAAGGCGAAAGTTTGTTTGTTAATCTTACACGCCAAAACTACTGAATAGATTTTAATGAAACTATGCAATAATATAACTTATACATCAGACTAACACATAGGCCATAATTTATTCAGTTATTGTGTGAATTGTCCAAAACATAGGTTATATGATAAGTGTCAACTAAGTAAGAAAAAATTCAGTCTTCTGCGTGAATAATAAAGAACTCATTATTAATTTCCTTTGGCTGTGGGAGCAAAGCCGCGGTTAACGGAATTAAATTGAAATAAGAGAAAATCTTTTGGTGAATCCGTGGCGCAGTCGTCAAGGTATTGCCTTCGGCGTCGGGGATCGTGGGTTCGATTGCCACATGGGACAACTATTTGTGTGACCCTCAGATAGTTATTTCGCATCTGGGTGTTTGTCCACGTGAAATTTATGTATGTAAAACGTTCTTGCAACACACGATAATGTTATCCTAAAGTGAGGGCAATGTTTTAAAAAAAATCTTTAATGAATTTAGGTTTTAATAAACTAAAATTAACAGTAAAATTAGTTTTGGTTACATTAGATACATTGATAAAGACACTAACGAAACAGAATTACAATGACATCAGCTTATGGCTGATAGTTTCAAGTAAGAAGTTTACATCAATTTATATGTCATTTAAAGCAACAAAACAAGTCGTACTTTTTAATACTGAGGAACACTTTAAAATACTGATTGTATTGTCATTTATATGATCATACAAAAGATCATCCGTGCAACACATATTGATTGATAATTTTAGTTTTCGAACGTAGAGAACATTGCACATTTGACGAGAAGATGTGCCGAAGTTTGCTGAAAACTGCCCATACAAGTTGATTTCGCCGATTGACCTCTGCGTCGAAGTTAATCTTACCAAATCGGACTGTCATATGTAAACAGTACTTTCTACAAACAAATCTACAAACTTAGTCCTTAACTACTAGCCGTATGAGTAAACTCAAAGTCACTCAGCGAGCTGTGGAACATGCTATACTCAATATTTCTCCGCATGATAGAGTCACCGTAGAACAAAAGTAACCGACATAGCTCTAGGGATAAGGAAGCTGAAGTGACAATGGGCGGGCCATATAACTCGTAGAACCGATATCCGATGGGAAGGAGGTTCTCGAGTGGAAACCTCATATTGGCCATCTTAGTACCCACTAGATGGAGTGACAAACTGCGCGAGAACCATATTTTGTAACAGTTGTGGTGTAGACCTATGTTCAGTAGTGGGAACAAACAGGCTGAAATAATGATGATGAATACAAAACGAAAGACATTGTAGACAATATTGTTACGAGCTATGGGTTCGGATTATCAGATTTTTTTTAATGTGAAAAGTTGCAAAGTGAGCAGACGGTTCACCTGATGTTAAGTTAATACTTACCCGGACAAGCCTGCCCATTCTTGCAACAGCCGAGGCTGCTATGTGGCCCTACCACCATGAAAAAATATTATATATAAAATGTTCTATATATTTATATAAACATATTTTCTTCCGTGCTGAAAACTGTGATACAAAAAATTCTACAAGAGATGACAATAAACACAGAGAGATTTACTTATCTGTTGTATTTATATTTTTTAATTTAACTTGTTGAAGTCAATGTCAGCTGTTAAAACTTAATTAAAATTTTTATTCAGAATCAGAACAGAAACTGATCTTTTGAACTCGCTGGCAAAGACAGAGGATACTGTATTGTTTGTGAACTTTTAATGATTAATAAGAGTGGAGTGATGTTATAGCATTCATTTATTTATATAAAAGTGGACGACAGTTTTTAATTTAATTAAGAAATCATTATTGAATTTTATTGCCTCACAACAGAGCTATGAAAAATGAATAACAGTTCTGACTATGTTTGGTCTGAGCTTCATTGCTCTAAAGATGCATTAACTGATACATATGGATGGTTTATGCAGTTTTTGCTTGCAGTATTGGCCTTTACATGTTTGATAGGTAAGTTTTCGTGGTTTCGACATGTTATGCGCGCCTTACAGGGTTCAACTTTGTGACATTCAAATTTATAATCTTGCGACAACTACAATATACACTAAGAAGATTAAGATACTATACTCCTATTGAAATGAAATTTTTCCAGTAGTACTTATATATCAGTGTTATGTTTAAATCACTAATATAGTATTATGTTGTCATTCCTAGTATATTTATTTTATAGATTAGGAAACTAAGAGTAATGACATATTTAATATACAGGTAAAAGATTTTGTGAACCACGCTATGCCAGAAGACCTTGGTTAATTTGGTTTTATGATACATCTAAACAAGGACTGGGCGCCCTTATTATTCATGCAGCTAATTTATGGCTCTCACCACACCTTACAGGAAATCCCTGTACTTGGTCTGTATATATACTGCATTAATTAATAGTTTTTATGAATTGTATTGATATCTCAGATGTTTTGATGTATTGGAAGTTAAATATTAATCTAAATTTGTGATAAATTAAGTTCTACTTTATCATTGTAGTTCATTTGTTAAATACTATTTACATACAAAATTCTAATTTTTTGATTTCTAATTTTAAAGAAACAATTTTTAATAATTTCCAGGTATATAGTTAACTTTATGTTGGACTCAACTTTAGGCTTACTTATCATATGGGCTGGTATAAGACTTGCCCAGCACTATGCAAGAAATTATGATATACCACTTATTAATTTCGGAGAATATGGTAAGTTTACTAACACATTTTAGAATGAGCTTAGGAGTTAGGGTGTATAAAATTTACTTGCTTTTAGAACATAAAAAATTTTATTGAAAATTACAATTGTTTTTCATTGCTTACAGGAAAGCCTCCTATGTGCGCTGCTTGGATATGCCAGTGTATTCTTTATGCTGCTTTAGCGACATTCGCGAAGTCTGTTCTTGCCTTGGTGCTTCGACTGCCTCCTGTTGTGGCTGTACTATCAACTCTTCGTCTTTCCCCAGTATCTGACCCTCGTTTAGAGTTAGCTGTTGTTATGCTCATCATTCCCTTTTTTGTTAATGTAAGTTTTTTTAACTTAATTTTGTGTTTCATTTATTGTTTATGTAAGTATGTGTATACGTAAACAAACTTAAAAAAATATTACATTTGATTTATGTACCTGTCAGTTTTTTACAATAAATAAAAACTTATTTTTAAAAAAAATATCAAGGTTATGAAGGAAACCTAAATTTAGATATGTCATTAGATTTACCAAATTACACTTTGACATCACTTTAGTGGTTACTCATATTTATTTCAGATTTTGATTTTTTGGGTCACTGATAACTTCCTCATGTATCACCCGAGGGGTGTGAGTTCCAAATTAAAGACCAAAGTGAGTATTTTTTTTGTATTGATATGCTTTTTCTAATATTTAATAACAAAAATCCTTTATATGGTATTAGTTTCCTTCATTGTAAACAGTTTGCACAAAAATAAAAATAGTTGCTTAATTAACCCCCAATGCAACAAAATTTTATATAGATTCAACAATTGCTCCTGTGTATTTTTATACTTACCCAAATTATTAAACAACAGCATTCACTTCCAATTGTTGTATCTACTGACTAGTTTCAATCTGTAAAAGGTATTTCAGTTCATCATAGTATGCAGTTGGGACCTATCTTGCAATGCACTGCAATACATGCACACATTGGAAGTCAGCTCAGCTGTTTAATTATTTAGTTAATAATTTCTCACGAAAGTTTTAATAATTTTTATTAAAACGTTATTGTTAATTCACTTCAAACAATTTTTTGTAATGATATTTTACTATTCTTCATAAAATCAGGTGCGTTACCAATCCATAAAGAAAGAAAAATCAGGATCTGAGGATGAGGACCAATCGGCTGATGAAAGGCTTCTTGGAGCTAGTGTATGACCCCACATTAAGCCCACTGTGCTACGGGCTTAGTATTTTTGGCAATCTCATAAGTAGTTTACTAGTATAGTTGAAACATACTGACTTGCTTTTGTCACAATCCAATGCTTTCCATTATCTTAGAGAAAAGTATAATGTTTTGTTAAATATATTTTTAATGTCTTTCATAATATAAAAATCATTGCTGCAAGATAAGCAGAATACTTCATATGTATAATAAGCAAACGGAATATGATTTACTTATGTTAATTTAAATATATGTGTTGTTATTTCACTTGAAAAAAGAAAATGCGGTGACTTATCGCCACTCTCGTAGACCTTTTTTTACAATTGTTAAAATCAGGTGTTAACTTTTTAATTGGACGCCACTTGACAAATTATGGCATCTTCTGATATATAAGCTCTAATTTGGATTTCTGGGTGGGCCGTGAGATTGGAATTAATTATCTTTATCTATATGTTATGAAGGCAAGTTGGTAGTTATAATGTTTGCTTCTATATCAAAGATTATAATTGTTTAATTAAATCTTTTGGGATCTAAGTGTTGATTTATATTTGTAGTCCTTGAATGTAAGCAATTTTAGAAACTAATGTTAGTTTATAAGAAATACCCGAATTGGTATTTTTATTTTTGTATGAGTCTATGTACAGGACTTAGTCGAAAATAAAGTATGAATTATTGCTTTAGTCTAAAACTAATATGTATATAATGATATAGTGAATAAAAATATAAAAAACTAATCATATTAATATTAATTTTGATCATATCTGTTAGCCTCATTTATTTACTATGTAATTATGTATGAATATAATATGAGCTAAATTGCTTCTTCAAAATATTTTTGTACTGTTTATTTTTAATTAAGAATATTTTGGTAATGTTCCTATGATGTACTTATATCACACCAGTAAGCTTTTACTTACTATGACCCTCCAAGGTGCCATGTATTTTGACAAAGGTGTAACATAGAATAAAGACTGAGTGAATGAGTGTGCATAATGTCACTGTAATATAGTATTCAACCAAATTAATTCTATTAGTCTAAAAATTCCATTCCAAAGGACCATGTTGGTATTGTTATATGGACTTGATTACTAATAATCAAAAATAACTACATACTTTAAAATTATGCATTCCACTTTAGAGATTTTGATATGCATGAAAAAATATTATTTAAATGGTGAAAAATGTATGTATAATATGGCGGTTATTTGAACTAACAGCTTCAAACAACCATCTTACTCGAATTTACAATGTGTTTCTTTTTAGTGGAGTTTATTTAACTTGAAACAATGTGAAGATATAAATAATTAAAAATTGTTTTGTTCTAAATCAATATGTTTTTCGTATTGCCGTATTTGACTTGCCTACATTTTTTATATGATGGCCTGACTTAAATACATTGCAATGTCGTAGTTGAAATGCAGCGAATGTATCACATTATCTTTTTGTAAATATTTGGTCAAGACGTACGTTTTGTGTACGCATGTATAAACAAAAAGTATTTGTATAAGTGTTTATGTTTTATGCGAATATATATCGCATCGTATGTTATATTTGTGTTTCATTTTTCTGGATGATTTTTGAACGCTAGCTGTTTTTCTGATTTTTCAAATGATTAAATCCGTGCCGAATACCGTGAAAAAAACATTTTAAGAAATTATGCCAATGTCGTCATCATCCTGTCCTTATCCCAGCTAACTGGTCTTGGCTAGATTTTTTCGACCGACCGCCTGCCTGACGTCAACCCTCCTTGGAAACACCCAGTTTCGGAACAATTATCACAGGAATATTTGTCCCGGGTGGGAATCGAACCCACGAGCCCAGGCGCCGAAACCAGTAGTTTAGCATAGCTGTGTCTATTCAATATAAACATTCGGAATCGGTCATTGAATATTGGTCCGCATTCATCATAATATATTTTTTTTACGGACAAGGTGGGAAATGAGCAGGCAGGCCTCGTGGTGGTAAATGTTCACCTCCGCCCATTGAAAACCGCAACACCAGAGGACTCACATCTGCGTTGCCGGCCTTTGAGGAAGCAATAGGCACCCTTTTTGAAGGTCACTAAGTTCTATCGGTCCGGAAATACCGCCGGCGACAACTGATTCCACAACTTGTGCGGTGCGGTGCTTGCTCCGACGCTTAATTCCTGAATGCTGGTGTCCCACAAGGCTGCGTCCTGTCTCCTACTTTGTTCCTCCTGCATATCAATGATCTGTTGCATATTTGCAACATTCATTGCTATGCAGATGACACTACGGGTGAAGCATTATATACCGGCCGGGCATATATTTCTCAGGAATACGTCGAAGAGTGCCGGAATAAACTTGTGTCTAAAGTTGAGGTTTTGTTATGCAAAATCTCGGATTGGGGTCGGCAAAATTTAGTCCAATTTAACCCCATGAAGACACAGGTTAGCGCGTTTACCGCGAAGAGGAAACCCTTCGTCGTATCTCTCTCCTTTGAAGGCACTCCTCTTGTTGCCACCGATTCGATCGGGATTCTTGGGGTCGATATATCGAGCAGCGTGCAGTTTCGCGGTCATTTGGCAGTAAAAGCCAAAGCTGGCTTCTAAAAAACTCGGTATCCAGTAAACTACTCTAAACCGAGCAAGACAGTATTTCCAACCGGCACTTCAAGAAGAGAGCCTATTCCTACCTTAAGGGCCGGCAATGCAATTGCGACTCAATCGATGTTGCAAATCTCCATGGGCGGCGGTGATCACTTACCATCAGATGACCAGCATGCTCGTTTGTCTCAGTTTCCCATTAAAAAAAATGGTGTGGAAGAAAGTTACGCAAAAACTTTTTGTCGTAACTTTCTTCCACACACAACCAAGTTGTGGGATCAGTATCTAGTATAAATTTCTTTATGTTTCTTACCTCAGAACTTTCGACTGAGTGAACTGATTTTGATGACTCTTTTTTTTAATTTGAAACCTATGTGGTCCCATATTAATTTAATTGGTATTGGGTCTTGGGTTCCGGAGATACGTAGGGAACTCCTGAAAATCAATGTAAAAACAGAGCGAGATTTGAAGTCGTTTTTGTTTTTCGTTGATAAAAAAAAAATTAGTATTATGGCGATATAATTGGGATATAATGGGTATTATGAAGTAATGTTATGGTTAAAACGCAGAGAGAATGTAATCACTACGTTTAAGCGGAGCAAATAAATTACACTGTTTATTGCACGTGTCGCTAGGTGATTCGACGTTTTATAGACAAAATAACTGTTGCCAAGGCGTTACCATAGAGGTATTTGACTTAATCGTTATCCATTTTTCTAAGAATCGCTGTTGCGTTTATTACTTTTTAATGATGAGTTTTAGATACTGTTGATATTACACGCTGCAAAACCATACAATGGAGGAGAGCGAACTCAGAAAACTATTACAAACAAAGAACGGATGCCGAGTGCCCGTTATGCCTCGAATACCGGACGTTCATATGATGGACAAATTGCCTTTCACACCTTTACCGCCATATAATCGAATAAAGGTAATGCAACTCTCAATTCTTAAACGTTATTTAATTTGACATGGATCGAAGCTGTTGTACATTGATTATGAATTATAGTACATGGCGACAAGGCTAACCTGCATTGTAATAAAACCGTGATCCAGGATTTATCATTACAGCGATGATATTGGAAATACCGGTTCAAGTTACTGTATTGATAATTTTAATATGTAAAAGTATTAAGCGAGCAGGCGGCTCACCTGGTTTTAAGTGAAGACCGTCGACCATGAATTCAATAACACCTGAGGCCTTGCTTTAACAATTTAAAAAAAATGTGTACCTCACTCACCAGCCGAAAAGTAGAAGTATAACATTTCCACTTCACACCACTCTTCTGTGAGATCGTGGTACTTCCCTGGATGGACCCGCCCATTCGTGCAGCAGCGGACTGTAGCGTGGGATTACCTCACTTGAATGTTGATTGTTGTAGAACTTAACTTATCATCCCATAATATACTTCATTATTGAATACCCATAGGACTTAGTGTGCAGATGCTAAGCCATAAGCTTCTGCGCTGAGCTCGTGGGTTCGACTCCCACATGGAACAAGTATTACTATTTATGTGACCCACGGATCAAGGTGTTTTTCCCAAAGAGGGATGACGTCAGGCAGGGGCTGTTAGTAAAAAATACTAGCCAAACCCATTAACAACATGATTCACATGTTGGGCAGGAGAAAGAAGTTTGATGTATACATATAAGATCATTACATATAATTCAATATCATCATATTATAGGATAAACAAGCGAAATTTCGCAAAGTCTTGGAGACTAAGGCAACGGAGAGGAAAGTGGCAATTGCTAGACCTGCCGTCCGACGTCGTGAAGGGGATCACCTGGAGATATCGGAAGAACGACACATAGCAGTTTTGCGAGAATGCGCAAGAAATATCCGACCGCCTCCAATGCTAAAATCGTGGGAGAGGAAGATCACAAATTTGATACCAGCGAAAATGCGCAATGCTTTCCCTGCACTAACCGAAGAGCTGATTAATGAAAGCAAAAGCGAATGGGACAAGAATTTACATGACTTTGCAGTGAAAACTGTCATCCGTGAAGTACCAGGTGTGCCTCGAAAGCGATACCAGGAGCCCGGCTTTAAGTATCACGGCATCACAGCAAACTACGATAAAATGATTAAATTTAGAAAGAAACTACAAGGGGGCTCGATGATTTTACACCCATTTATAAGGCTTATCCTCGAATCAGCTGAAAAAATTTTCCCCCAATGCATAATAAACTTAGTTAATTATCGTTTAAAGGGTCCAATGGAACTACATGTGTTTGAGATGAAAATAATGGAGGAAATAAAACGTGCAGACCATCTCGTCTCAAGCACGTGGTACTCTATATTAGTACATTGGTTGAAAAACCCCAGGTGCTTAAAAGGAATGCGCCCAAAAAGAATTCCTGATTTCATAAGATGTGCCACAAAAATGATTTCAATGCAAATACAAGAATTAATGCGCAGA